TCTTTTGGTACTTAAAAACTTCTTATCATCACAATATAAAGATACTTTAAAAAATACTTTTGGTGGTTTTCTTTTTTCTTTTTCTTTTTTATTTTTAAAGATTCTTATTTATCTGTTTGTCAGAGAAAGAGAGCACATGCACGCGCTTATGAGCACGAGTGCGAGGACAAGCAGGGCGAACAGCAGGCAGAGGGAGAAGCAGGCTCCCCACTGGGCAAGGAGCCCAATGCGGGGCTCCATCCCAGGATCCCAGGATCATGACCTGAGCTGAAAGCAGACATCCAATCGACTGAGCCACCCAGGCGTCCCTCTTTTTCTTTTTTTTGTTAAATACATTCCACTGTTTTAAAAAAGATTTATTTATTTATTTTAGAGAGAGTGCGTGTGGGGGCAGTGGAGGGAGAGGGAGAGAGAATCTTCAAGCTGACTCCTCACTGAGCAGGGAGCCAGCCCCAGGGCTCCATCCCAGGACTCTCAGATCATGACCTGAGCCAAAAATCAAGAGTTGGCCACTCAGATGCCCCCCCCCCCCGCTTTTTTTCTTTTTTACTTTTGATGGTTTTCTGTGTGAAGAAGAAACTAGTCAAGTGGCTAGCTACATTAAAGCACCAACTCTTTGTGCTGGAGAAGATCATGACAAAAAGTCTCATGAGGCTGTTTGTTTTTGTGGAATACAAATTTTGTTTACATTTATCTCTGACAGTGAAGAAAGAAAATGGTATCTGTAATAAAGTAACCATGTTGTAAGATTTTGAGGTTTAGTTGTTACCTTGAGATGACCTGTACATTTCTGTTGGTGCTTCCTTAAATGGATTTTTAATAAACTTATTTTGAGATTCCAAGCTTTGCTCCTTTGATACTTTTTGAAGTGCTGATGGATAGGTTTTTCTATCAGCACATGGAAGCTTTGAGATTATTTGTATTCTAGGTTTTTTTTAGTTTGTGTATAATAGGAATTGTAGTTGCCCTTCAGAGAAGGGTTTCTCTTTCCTTTTATCTGATTGAGCAAGTGTCTTGAGAAAAAGGAAATGATAGCAGTGAATTCAAGTGTTACGCTCTGTCAGTCTCAGAAAATCTTTAGCAGGTGGTCAGAGAGAGAAAACAGCAAACTCTACTTCTGTCCTTCCTCCCTTTGCAATCCAGGTCACAAGATCCTCACTTCCCAACAGCTATCTTTTTTGTTCTCAGGGCAAGAATGCTAAGAATGTTATAAAATCAACGAGTGCCTTTGCCATGCTGGCTGGACAGATGGCCTTCTGGCCTCCATGCAGTCATCAATTGTTTTCAGCTGTTACTGGACCAGAATCAAATCGGGCTTTGCCTCTGCCTTTCTTTGTACGAACAATGTTTGTTTGTTCACCAGGCCTGACTGAAGACCTAGCCCGCGTTGCTTGCCTCTGCTTTCTACTGAGCTCCATGTAAAGAACAGCTCTTCCCTCCCTGGAAGGGTCACCTGGTAGCATTATGATCTTCAAAGCATCAGTGGAAGCATGAGCTTTCTCTATTTGAACTGGAAAAGACCTGGGCTGGGCATCAGAACACCTGGGTTCTGGAACTGGTGTTATTTGCCTCATAAGCACTGCCAAATTCTTTCACCTTTCCTGACCCTTAGTTTTCACGTGTAAATACAGGATGTGCCTTTGAAAAAGCTATCAGGATATGCTAAAGTGACTACTGCATTTTTGATGTTTCTTACAAGATTTGTCTGAGAAAGCTCCAGTATGATAACCAGTTTGTGTGGTTTCTTGTAATGGCTGAACAGGTCCGGGAAGCATAAGGCCTAATAATGGAAACTACTAAAATTAAAATGACCAGATTCTCATTACAACTTTTTTTTTTAAATAAATACTAGGGGGGTAGCCTGGGTGGCTCAGTCATTTAAGCGTCTGCCTTCAGCTCAGGTCATGATCCCAGGGTCCTGGGATCGAGCCCCGGCATCGGCATCATCGGGCTCCCTGCTCAGCGGGGAGTCTGCTTCTTCCTCTCCCTCTGCCTGCTGCTCCCCCTGCTTGTGCGCTCTCTCTGTCAAATAAATAAATAAAATCCTAAAAATAAATAAATACTAGGACTGTATATTGGGAATGCTTTTGACACTTCAGTTTTTAATTTATAGTTAGATCATTGAAGTTTAAGATCTCATTTACTACTTTTTCAAAGATACTTATAAGCAGCAGTTTTAGTAGTAATAAAAATCAGCTCTCTCTCTGTATATAGACTTTTTTTTTCTCCTCCCAGCTCAATATAACTTAATGCTCATTGTAAACTCCTAAAGAGCAGGGTTGGAGTTTTACACAGAGGCAACATAGTGTACTATGTGAGCCTTTACTTTGCTCCTTTGCTTACTGGATGTGACCTTGGGCAAGTTAGTAAACTTCTGTGTGCCACATTTTCATATGTAAAGTGGGCAAAGTGAATATAATTAAGTAAATCCTGTCTGTCTCTGAGTTTTGATATAGACATCCAGTAAACTCCTATTTAGTAAATGGACAGTCACTTTTCTTTATCTGTAAATGTAATCTACTGTATTTACTTTTTTTTTTTCTTTATTTACTTTTTATTTTTGGCTGCATGGCCCTTTCTTGCCCTTTGCCTTTGCCTGTTGCATTTCGCTAACACTACCTTATTTGTTGTTTCTGAGGGATCATATGAGAATATTAATGACCAATTTCTTAGGGTTTTTCTGTAATAGAGGTGTACCTCAAATGATACGGTATGGTCTTTAGGGCAGCCAGGAACCAACTGCAGCCTCTTCTGTTTGCCAGCCTATGGCATTTCTGGGTTAGCTGAGGTAGTAAGTACTGTACTAAATGTTTTTATGGGAAAGAAGGAATAATATGCTCTGTTTGCTGATCATTAATGCTATATTAATGTTGAAATTTCAGTTAGTCAACTTTAAAAAATCTTAGAAGCATAGGTCAGAACATTTACTCTGAATACTTAATGTACTTAGAAAATATATTTGTTCTATTGGCTTTCCGCCTCTCTTTTGGGTAAGTTAATATACATGCTGCCAAGACTTAATTTTATTCATTTTAAAAGTTAGGATCAGGGGCGCCTGCGTGGCTCAGTCGGTTAGGCATCTGCCTTCAGTTCAGGTCATGATCCCGGGGTCCTGGGATCGAGTCCCACATAGGGCTCCTTGCTCAGTGGGGAGCCTGCTTCTCCCTCCGCCTGCTGCCCCCCCTGCTTGTGCTCAGTCTCTCTCTGACAAATAAGTAAATAAAATCTTAAAAAAAAAAAAAGGACCATTGGTATAAATAACCATAAAATATAGGTTTATGTCCACAAAAATCTCTGAATTTAATTGAAGTATATAGCAGTGTGCACATACCATGGGGGTACAGCTCAGTGCATCTTCACAGACTGAAATCCCTGTGTAACTAGCACCCAGATCAAGAAACAAAACATTACCAATTCCCCCTCAAAGCTTCCCACATCCCCTCTTAGAGCAAATAACCCCCATAAAAGTAAGTGTTGTCTCTATTTGTATTTTTAATTCACTTTATTTTTAAAACAAACTTACATTAATTATGTCTTATTTAGTTAGTAATAATTTGCAGTCCCTTGATCCATGTCAGTTGACCATGGGCTGTAGCTGGAAGGGAAGAGAAAGGTTGGCATGGCATATAAAACTGTGTAGGTTAGAAGGGAAGCATACCTTGATTAAAAATTTATCATGGTTTAAATGATCTAGATATAGGTAGTTAAGAGTTAATTTGAACTCAATACTATTTTGAAAAATAGTTTCCTTGGTTTTTTTAGCTGCTTTCTGTGTTTTTGACGAAAAATCACTAGAATATAAAAAGTAGAGTATTTAGAGGATCGAGGATCCTGAAGTTGAAAGTGAAAATGAAACAGGGCTTTGACAAAATACTTTCATGTGAGTGTGTACATGATAATGTTGTAGTCACTATGAATGAGAATACTGCTTAGATATATGAACAGATTTCTTTCCTTCTGTATTTCTGAAGACTTTCTATGAAAAGGGAAATTGAATGGAACTAGAGGGTATTATGCTAAGCAAAATAAGTCAGTCACAGAAAGACAAATACCGTATGATTTCACTCATACGCGGAATTGAAGAAACAAAACATGAACATAGGGGAAGGGAAGGAAAGATAAAATAAGATGAAAATTGAGAGGAAGGCAAGCCATAAAAGACGCTGAACTCTCAGAAACAGGATTGCTGTAGGGGAGGTGGTGGGGGGAAGGGGTAATTGGGTGATGGGCATTAAGGATGGTACTTGATGTAATGAGTACTAGGTGTTACATGCAACTGATGAATCACTGAATTCTACCTCCAGAACAAATTTAAAAAAAAGAAAAGGGAAGTTGAAATCATAAAGAATTGGCTGATGGAAATTAAGGCAGACAGCAAATGGGAATGTGTGTCATCCCCCTCCCCACCCCCCCACCAGGAGAGTGAATTCTGGGAGACTGAATGATGTGTGTAAATAAGGCTGTGCCAGGATGCAAGGGAGAGACCTAAGGCTGGGAGTTAGGAGTCTGTGATTTTTGGCCTGATCTGCCCAATTGTGTGATTTTTAAGCCAGTCAGTGAACTTAGGTCCTCTTCTGTTTTTGTAAAATAGGTATGTTACCTGTTTCCCTTGGCTTGGGGCATTGTGGTAAGGATTAAAATGAGATGACAGAATTTTGCCAAATTAAAAGCACTAGACAGTTTTATGGAGATAGAAAGGTTAGGTTGGATTAGTCAGCATAGAAAAAGGAATGTTGATGAGAACAATCTTTAATATCATTTAGCTCCCTTTGCTCTAAATCTGAAATCATTAGGTATTTTTGTGATTGAAAATATTTGGTTTCTCAAGTAGATCTTCTCATTACCAGAGAGATATCTTGAGCTAACAAAACTTTGTCATTTGAAGTTGATGGCAGATTAATACCCTTCTGGTTTACAAATTACAAATACAAAAATAATTCTAAGTACTTGATTGGTGTGAATAGATTTACTCTGGGTGACCTGGTAAAATCCTATTTCAGACCTAATCCGGAAGCCTGCAAGTGACAGCAGCCTGTGAGGTCCTTAGAAAGTTTGGTCTGGAGAAGAACACATGAAAGAAAGGTTTGTTTTTGCTGAATGTAATTTATGAAAGTGTTTAAAAATGAAAGTATAATTGTAATTATAAATTACAATTGTAATTGTAAAGGATTATTTTCTTTTTCCCTTTTCAGAACCCCAAGAGGCTTTGTTTTCTGTGAAAAAGTGTTTCTATACGGTTGCTCCAATGACAGAGTTACCTGCACCCTTGTCCTACTTCCAGAATGCACAGATGTCCGAGGACAACCACCTGAGCAATACTGTACGTAACCAGGTACAGTGTCCGCCTCTCAAACTTCCTCTGCCAGACTATGGATTCATTGACCACCTTCCCTCATCTCCAAGAGAGGCCGAGGGGGCTGAGCAGGCTTTCTCTACTTTTCCAAGTTTACCTATTTGCTGATGGCAAAGCATTGTACGATTGGTGCTGGGGATACAAGGCTATGTGAGACATGGGTGTTGATACAGTTCCTCCCTGCCATCTCCAACTTCCCCAGCTATTTATTATTTTATCTGTCTTGTTCTTACTCTTCCATGGGCTGAGTACGTTTTATTTACTTTTATTTTTTCAGTGCCTATCATGGTTCCTGACACTGCCTACTAAATGCTCACTGACAGACTGCACAGTGATGAGTGCAAGGCTAAGTGTAGAAATCCTAAGAGAGTTCAAGGGAGAGAATCAAGAAAGGGGTGTAATCAGTGGCATGAGACACAAACATCAAATCAGCCTGCGACTCCGATAGCTAATCATTACAGATTGAATGTAGACCCCACAGGTGGCCTGTGAGACGGCTGGGAAATGGGTAGGATTTTTAGAGGTGGAGCCAGAGTTGGGGAAAACGACAAGGCCGTCTATAAGCTATGCAGGCTGCGAGGGGTCGGGCGGGTTGGGTGGGGTGGGGTCAGACTTTCCTTTATTAGAACCAGAGGACAGAATCAGTGGTGGAAGGAAACACGTCTGGGTCAATAAAAAAAGAATTGTTTCACAATTTACTGTATATCCGAAAGGGTGTGGTGCAGTGTTATCTTGTCACTAAAAGCAGTCACAAAGGCTGGGAGACTACCAACCAAATCTGCAAAGGGTTAGTCTGTGGAATGAGCAATGAGCTAGAGCACCAACCAGATGGCCTGGAAGTTCCCTTCACACTAATATTTAGAATTCCAGTTAAGGGTCAAGGTGTGAGGAGGAGGCTTCACAAAGTAGACTTTGATGGATGGGTAAGATTAGAATAGAGCAAACTGGGATGACGTCACTGATAGAATAAATAACACTAGTGGAGGGAGAATTTTCCTAAAATTTAAATAGACAGGGAGGCTCTATCCAGAGATATGTCATCAGAAGCAGATCACACTGTACTGCCAAAACATTTTTAATCAAGTGAAATCAAGATAAAATGATTATTGGGGGAAGCCCTGAAAGGGAACACAAGCTGTAAAGGGTAGTATATAGCCTGAGGGGTGTGTGGGGGAAGGGAGAGGAGAGGAGCTGTTGCCTTGTTGGTACTTGGTGGATAATGGGTGTTAACAAAGACTGATTTTTGTGGCAACACGTTTGCAACAGCTGCTTGATTTGCTCCTTTTTGTTATTTCTTAGGAATAGCTTTTTGAAAAGTTAGGATGAGGCCAGATTATGAAGTTCTTTGGTAGTTTGGATACTACTATCTTTGTAATCATTTTTAACTGTTACTTAAGGGAAAGTGGGGACAGCCCTGACTTAGTCTCTGGGTACCCTTTCCTTAACTAGAGCAGCTCCTATTTTATCTTTTTACATATTGATCTTCTGTGGATCCGTTTGAACATAAGATTCCACAGCTAACAAATTTTGAAGAAAACACCTATCCGTCCCAAACCTCCCAACGGTGTCTCATCTCAGAGTAAAATCTGGTCTGAGGTCTTATTTTAACCTTCCCCTCCAGTGCCCTGATCTTTGTCTTATCTCTTAGCACCGTCTCCCTCCCTCACTGCTTCTTCAGTTCTGTCTCTGGGTCCTGGATTATTCTCCCAATCTTCTCAGATGTCTCCCTTCACTTGATTTATTTAGGTCACCTCCTGAGTCACCTTATCGGTGAGGCCTTGCCTTCCTCAACTGCCCTTCCCTGCCACCCCTTATACCTTGTCTCTGCTTTCCTTGTGCTTAGCACTTACCTAGTATTTGTAGCATGCTGCCTACTGACTTGTGTTGACCTGCCTCTCTCTACCATGTAAACCTGAATCCCCAGCTCCAAGAGCACTGCTTGGTACATAGTGAGCTCTCCATTGTTAATGCAGTATTACCTAATATTCCTCACACTCAGGTTTTATGGGGCTTTCATGGTATTTTTTTGGTCTGCCTTTTTTTAACACCTTAGTGACTGACAAATTGAAATAAAGGGTGCTATAGAGGAGGTACAATTGACACAGGATTTTTATTGATAATTACATGTGCTTATGTAATTTTAGTAAGTCTTAGTGCTAATGTTCTCAATGGTACCTTCCAGATCTCTTAGGGCACGACTGCTCAGAATATCATGCCTGATTTATTTAATTTTAACCCTACCATTTGATAATGTGATATCGAATAAGTTTATTTTTTATTTATCTTCTCAAGATATCTTCTACAGGGGCACCTGGGTGGCTCCATCAGTTAAGCATCTGCCTTCAACTCAGGTCTTGATCCTAGGGTCTCAGGATCGAGCCCCACATCGGGCTCCCTACCCAGTGGGGTGTCTGCTTCTCCCTCTCCCTCTGCCCCTCCCCACCCCCACTCAAGTTCTCTCTCGAACACTCTGCTCTCTCAAATTTTAAAAAAAGTCTTCTACAACTTAAAAGATCTTCTGTATACATCCTCATACTTTCCAGTTACCATGGGATAGGTATTATTTCTGTTTTATTTTATTTTAAGATTTATTTATTTATGGGGCACCTGGGTGGCTGAGTTGGTTAAGTACCTGCCTTCGGCTCAGGTCATGATTCCAAGGGTCCTGGGATTGAGCCCCGCATCAGGCTCCCTCCTCAGTGGAGAGTCTGCTTCTCTCTCCCTCTGCCTCTTCTCTGGCTTGTGCGTGCTTTCACGCTCACTCTCTTTCGCTTACTCTTTCTCAAATAAATAAACTAAAATCTTAAAAAAAAAAAAAAGATTTATTTATTTGAGGGGCTGGTAGAGAGAGAGAGCAGGGGGCAGGGCAGAGAAAGAATCCTCAAGCAGGCTAGCTGCTGAGCCTGAGCGCAGAGTCGGAGGCAGGGCTCAATCCCAGGACCCTGAGATCATGACCTGAGCTGAAATCAAGAGTCAGACGCTTAACCGACTGAGCCACCCAGGCACCCCTTTCCCCTTTTACAGTTTAAATGCTTGTCCAGAATCACATAGAAAATTAAATTACAGATCTGGAACATAAAACTATACTTTCTTTCTTTCTTATTTTTTTTAAAGATTTTATTTATTTATTTGACAGACACAGCGAGAGAGGGAACACAAGCAGGGGGAGTGGGAGAGGGAGAAGCAGGCTCCCCGCTGAGCAGGGAGCCCGATGCGGGGCTGGATCCCAGGACCTTGAGATCATGACCTGAGCCGAAGGCAGACGCTTAATGACTGAGCCACCCAGGCACCCCTAAAACTATACTTCTAATTTCAAACTTCCTCCAGTGTTCTTTCTGTTCTACCAACTGTCTCTTACCCCGGAAAAATGTTAGAATACTGAAAGGAGATATTGTATGAAAAAAATTCTGGAGAAAGAAAATACTAAGTGTATATGCATTTTATACCAGTGTACTTAAAAAAAAAAAAAAAAAACCCAAAGAAAAAGGAAAAGGATCTCATTGTTAAGTTTTATAGTTATAAAGAAGCCATTGTATATATGCTTTGGTTGGTTATGAAAAAATGGGGGTAAGTCCAAATTTAAATTGAATGTAGATGACTTTTCGTGGATTAATTGAAAGCAGCTCTTTTATTTCTCCTCTTGGATCCTGGATTTGTTAAATACAAGCACATGAAGACAAGCCTCTGCAGGCATAAAAATCCTTATCACACTTATTTCTTCTTTATTTGCACAGTGGCTAGTTAAGAGGAGTCAAGGAAATTGAGTGATGTGGAAAGTTTCAATCTTTCCACACTGCTCCGGAAAGGAAACTAGCATATTGAATGTCTTCACTGTGTTGGACTCTCTGCAAGGTACCGTCACAAACATTAGTTTTAGGGCCTTACATTTTGGGGACATAGGTGAGCAGATTTTCCTTCAGTCTTCCCCTCCTTTGAATTAAAGTGCTAATAAGGTGCTTCTCTATATGACTATATCCTCTAGAGTATACAAATAGTCTATTTTACATTAAATATTACAAAAAGAAATGAGCATTCACTTAAAAATAGTTTTGAAACTGTAAAGAGTTTCAAATAAATTTCCTACAGAATTTATTGAAATATCAGTGTAAAGAAGTGGACTTTCTATTCCTTTTCTCTCCTCAATACCTTCCTCCAAGGTCAGGAGCACCCCTAGTCTTGAACTCCTTTTATGAGGTAATCCTTTGCTTTGAGTTTGGGAAAGACCTATGAGGATAACAAGATATTGAAAACTGTTCAAAAACACTGATGAATTGGCATTTAGGGGTTATGGCTGAGTGATGTATAAATAGGTCCTTCAATGGAAAGAACTAACTTTGACCCAGTTGTAATTTGAAACAGCTGTGTGTAATTTGGTCTGATTCACTTAGTTTCTTAGTACTTCATTTTTCCCATCTGTAAAATTAAGATGGTTTACTACCTAAATTCTCTCTCAGCAGTTTTGTTGTGACCATGCATTAGGGTTGCCAGCTGTCCTGGTATGCCTGAGACTGAGAGGTCCCTGGAACACAAGGCTTTCAGTTTTAAAACTGGGACAGTCCTGAGAAAATAGGATCAAGTTGATTACCCTATCAGAAGTATAATGAAATTGAAATCATTTTGGATCTGATTAACCCAGTCTCATTCAATTAGATGACTTTGTTGTGTAACTTCAAGTATTATTGCAGTGATATATTGTTAGTGTTCAAGTAGATAAAACATTTTTCTCTTTCCAGAAGTGAAATGTTGCCCATGACTTCATTCTTCCATCCTTAGCAGATACATGATAGGCTGTCTTAGCCCAGAAAAGATGTTTTCTTTTTGTAGGCTTTTATGGGTAATCTCATTCACAGTAAAGAGAGTTGCAGTTTGATGAGATTAGTTAGAGACCTGAAAAATAGTGTTGTTTTTTTAACCCAAATATTTATTTCTCAAATTTTTATTGTGAAATATTTTAAGCATATACAGGAAATGTGGCAAAT